ATTCTGCTAAAGTTTATGTACACAGTGTGCATTCAGCAGCTTTATACTGTACATCTTAAAAAACTGAAGACTACGATGAGCCCACACTGACTCATGTGGGATTCAGTTTTCAGTCCCGCTGTGTAAAAATTCTGCACTTGACCTATTCATTCACCATGTCTTACTCCCTCCATGGACTGTGTTGCTTTTTATATTACATCACCTGACTGTCTGGCAGTACATCTATGAGATATTTATCAGAATATTCAAGACTGACTAGTACTAGCCTTAACCGTGACCCCTTCACCCTAATCCTAACCACTTCAGATCTTGAAGCATCAACATGACGAGCACTAGTCAGTCACAGCATGCAGTGATCCATAATAACGTGTTGCATGGATATGTGCAAATAGCTTAATAGCTGCAGTGTGATCTGTGACTGTTTAATGTACAACTCTAATATACCTGTAATCATATAACATGACATATCTTATATGAATATGACATGAAGTACTTATAAATGAGCAATCAACACCCCTCGAGTGAACCCCATTCACTGGTGAAGGCCACAAGATGTGGCTGAAAGCAAGTTATTATTCCCACACTTAGGAGCGAACCCTTAAGCTCAACATGTCCTCATGAGTTTTCAACACATTTATAGACCGCTGGAAGCTGCCAGTGAATAATTAGTACATATGTATATTTCAATAGTTAGGCTAAGGCTAATAAATATTTTATAGCAAGAAAATATGATTATGTTATACTGTTTTGGTCATTCATATTAGCTGTTGGTACAAAAGAATGTCCTTATAACTGCTTACAATCACAATAAAGCAAAATAAAAGCAGTGTTTTAAATGTTAATGTGCTGCTTATAAATGTTACATTGGAATTAAAGCATTTTATGTGCTTATATTTTTAATAGGCCTATATTTTGGACAGCTGGCTGTGAGAAACTGTGATGAGTATTTTCCTCTATTTTCTGACTATTTAAAGACCTGAAAATCTATTAATGAATTTAGTGGAAAACAATTGGCAGACTAATCAATAATGAGAGTAATCATTAGTTGCAGCCTCAGTTGGATTGTGGTTTAACTGCATTGCAGAATTCCAATCACAATGCAGAGAGACTGCTTCCATAGGTGGATCTGACAGTAACGTGAGCGAAATCCGATTGCTTGTTCAGATCTGTAACTTAATCCATGTTGACGTGACTGTATGTAGTCTCATTGAAAAGCAGGTGCGCCTTCAGCTAATGCATTACAGCAGTCCTCCACATGTGATGCACTAGCCCCGTCTGATGGAGTCTAACCATAATACAGCCAGCCTTAATTATCGCTGAGAATGGGTTTTCTTGATCCCAACTGGCTCCTTTAGTTCCGGGCCTTTTCTTGGTAACCTTGCCCTGAAGCAGCACCAGATTCATGAGTATTGATTGGCTGGGACACACACATACACACACCATTCATCTTTTCTTGACCTCTAATGCCAAAGGTTTGTAGAAGCTAATAAAAAGCTAATTATTCAATCAAACCGCTCCTACAAGCAATTTTCCTTAAAACTGTTTTTTGCCTCATTTCAAGTAAAGAGCTCAGCTTGGTTCGAGTCAGGCCAGTGCGATGGGAGCGTTCATTAGAGTCTGGAGAAGTTTTAGATTAGCAGAAGCGGCTCAGACAAAAACAGCTGCTCGTCTTTAATAATCACCTCACTTTTGTGGTTTTGTCCCCAGTTGACTCTGAGAATTTTGCACCCACTGATTAAACTGGATATATTCAATGTATTTAAACACATTAGGTCTACACTTAGTGACATATTTTCAATATGTTCACAGTTTCGGGGCATTGCTGTTCATGCACCCCTATTAGGTAGATGTAATTAGGCTTTGACTGTGGCAACACAGCTGCTGAAAACCCATGAATACGCACTATGAATCCAGCAGCATGATTGATACCTTGCCATGTAGCGTATATGATCCTGTGCGTAAATCAAGTCATTAATCAAAGTGCTGACATGAGGAGTAAATTACTGTAAAGCCAGTGGGGAAAGAGGAATGGTCTGATGGCGTTCAGTTTCGTGGATTTGCTGAGGATGAGTTTGACCTCACAGTTATGACAGCTATCGGGCTACTCTACACCTCCGAACAGCAGCACTGTTTCCTGAACAAGTGGCTCTGTCAGTCCACTGCTGAGTCATGATGACATTGAGAATGTCCTTTAATAAGTGTGTTTCAGCCGCGGCTGCTTTATTGCTTGTCTTCATCTCGGGCACTGTGATTGCTTCAGTTAGGGAGAGGGGGGACTTGCTGAAAAATTGAATTCTAACCAAAATCTTAACTCCAGTCAGGCAATTTGAAAACAATTAGTCTGTAATAAATACACAAAAACCTCCTCACATGCAGTGGAATTAATTTCCCATACTGATGCGGTCTATTAAATGATTTGGGTCCTTGCTTTCCTTGCCGGTAAGCTCAGAAGTGGCACCACTTCTGTTGACATCTGGGGAAAGGAGGAACACAAAGAAAGCAGCTATCTTATGAATGCATTCACTCAAATCTATAATTGATTGTAGCTCCAAGGCTTGCTTTTGTCTCCCCTGATGGTCAGCAGGATCTGATGTAATGAGATGCCTCAAGGTTTTTTGCAGAGCTTTCTTTTGCAGCTTTTGCTGAGCTGATATCTAAGAACTGGGGAAAAAAAAATACCCCCCTCTCTTTAAGCCAGAAGAAAGATAATTCTGACATTGTCTTCTAAATTTGTAATTTGTAATCTTGCGTGCTGAGACAAAAAGTATGAAATGGCAATTCTATTTTATTCCAATCTTTAAATAAATCAATGTAGCTCTGATCCGCTTTTCCTGATACTTGTTGTAGGCAGAGTTTTCCAAGGAAATCTGCAAGCAAATCATGATGTAGAGGAAAGCTTGCTTCAGATATCTCACTTTCACTTTCTAATACAATAATAACCCCCTGCTTCTACTATTCTCTCAGCAAGCTAATTGTTATATACGGGCAGATAATGCTCTCACTGCACTATATTGAAGACCATTTGCAATCAAAGTTTACTTTTAAGCCCATTAAATACATACTTATGCCAGTGTGGCTCATATCTCCGACAATATGTTGATTAAGAAGGGGAATTTTAGGGTTATGGTTGTTTCCATCCTTCCTGTAACCTGACTGGCCTTCCGTTTGTTTTTCATGCCGCACGCATTAAGTCGTCTCTCTGTGGAGTGACGGACACGATATAACCGCAGTGAGGTAAAAGGGCGAAGTCTCACCCCTGTTGTCATACCAGAGTATTTTAAGTAACAAAGCTGGCAGCGCAGGAGGATGACTGTCTCCCTAACAACCGTCTTTGTCTTGCAAAGATAGGAAGGAATCACCCCGATGGATAATGACTTGACGGAAGTATGTCCTTTGGCCAAAGTTGCCTGGCACTGTGGATTTTTTTCTTTTTATTTTTTTGTCTTCTCTTTTCACTTTATATAAGGGCCTGGAGAGAAATGGAAAGAGAAATGGAGAGGTAAAATGTTGTGGAGAGGAGAGAGGAAAGTGGAGCAGGGAAGTGGAGTGTTTGATACAGTGAAAGGGAGCCATGTTGGAGATTAAGTGAGACTGGCTTGTCCTGGGCTGACACCGGACTTATCACACTGGGCCAGGTGATGATTTGATGCTTGGAAACGAAGACAGAACCGAAAAATCAGTTGTTAGACCATTGTGGATGGGTGAAGGACTTCTCGCTCGATACAAATGTACAACTTTATGCACCTCCCAGTGGTTGCTCACTGTCACATTGCAGTCACACCACTCACTGTCACATTGACTGCCGGAGTGGGCCGCAGCGACGCCACACACACACGCGAGCAGGAGCAGTTAATATGCATGGCATGATAGACTGTGAAATGATAGACTGTGAAATTTCTGACACCTACACTCTTACTTTATTTCTCTCCTTCATTTCTTAAACTCTGACATGACAGCGCTGACTCCAGCCTGCGATGAACTGAAGAGGATCGAAGTGACGTATCAAAAAGCAAAAGCTTGCGTCATAAATACTTCATTGGCTGGATGAATAGCTGAAGGTGACAAGCCTAAAGTCCCTCTCTGAATACAAATTGATGTACAGTATAGCCCGGAAGAAGAACCTGAGTGGAGAATTCTGTCTTTTTAATGCACTAAGACTCTCTGCAGACAAATGCGAGCGATATGGTAATCTCTCTTGGGTTGCGTGCTGCTGAACTGCAGGCAGAGCTGTGACATGTCATGCAGCTTGCTTTGAATTTTAGGGACAAGTGAGAAACTGGAGGCCTGTGACCTTGGCAGTCACCTCCATCCTGTTTGAGAAGAAAAAAAAAAAAGAAGCATAAATGAAAGAAAAATTCAGCAGTAGAAATAGCCTCCTAAGTGAGTTACAAAACCTCATCCTCATTCATCTTCATCATGTGCATGGCAAGGGCCTTATGTTAAAGCACAGAGTAATTATTTGGATCCATTAATCACCTCATTTTCTCAGCCACAAAATCTCATCACGAGCGCAAGATTCGCCTGTTCTTTGTTTTGCACAGATAAATTCCAAAGCTGTGTCAAAATATGATGAATTTTTCATTATGCTCCCCTTTACACTTTGTTCTCTTTTAGCTACAATGATGCAGTGAAATATTAATGACAGGACACACATTCATAGCCATGGTATCTCCAGCTCTGTTTTTCTAATGCCGCTCCTGCTGCTTATGCTTCTTTCCTGTTGTTTCATAATCAGATCAGCGTTCATATCACACCCAAAGCTGCCAAGTGTAAAAAAGGAGCAAGCTCAGTCAATGAGATTATGAATGTATGACTGCTTCTCTTGTGTGTTGAGGAATGTCGGCTCTTTCACTAGAATGCTGTCGAGAAGTAGATAATAAACATCCCAAAGTGTGTTAGAACAACCACATGTCTGGCGGGGGTTTCGCAGTGTAGTTAGCGTGCTCACCTAAGCTGCCCTTACTCTAACAAAAAGACTAAATGTGTTTCCTGTCCTCTAGGTGGTGTTTTCCTGTGACGCCAGAGAGAGTCGCCTGCCTCAGCTCTGACTCTCTGACCGCCAGCTGATCAGCATGCTGATGTGAAACCTGCAATGGAGACTGGGGCTTGATATCTGGTGAGTTTGTCGTGTTTTCCAAGTCACTGCATATTGACTGAGCTGTCGCAGCCCCACCTTTTGCCGGGGCAGCTCTAACTATGCTGAAAATGTTGCTTTAGCAGTGGTGCATCAGCAGATTGAGGATGCAGTACTATGTGGATCACTGGTGGGAATTTGTTACAGAAAAGACAGTCAAACTACAGGTGCAGAGCAGAACTGGGTCAAATTTGCAATTGCCTTTTTTTCCCCTTAGTTTGACACAATTTAAACAGCCATATGGGTGGAGTCTGTCAAAGCAGAGTCAGCTTAATTGCATGGGTACACTACATTTAGACATAGTGTGCATCTGTGCAACGACTAATGCAAACATAAACACATGGCCGCTATATTTCCAGGGAAGTAGGCATGAGAAATAGATAAACAACAAATGGACACCAACATACAATGTCTGCGAGGTCACAAATAGTACCAGAGTGTGTGGGAGTGTGCTGGATAAACCGTTTGTGTAGTGAGCAACTTTATATGCATACAGTAGGTGGTTTATGGACAGTATATACAACCTGCTTAGCTTTACGTTTGACAATAATGGATAATATGTACATTTTATAGCACAATTTATATAGCGCATTGTCGTATATATGATTTGTAAGTACATTAGATGTTTCGGTATTACAGGGCTGTTGTACTGGGATTGTATTCTGGCAGCAAATGTCTGATTTAACTGTGCAAGAGGCTGATGGCATGTGGAAGGAAATGGCCTGCATTTGGTTTGAGACACGCGGCGACACAATAAAGACAGAGGTTTTTTCCGACAAATAAATATAGTTGTATATTTTATATCAATACAACAAATTATGTTGAAAGAGGTCATCATTCCTTCTATAATAATGGTAGTTTAACACAAGGAAATACTGTTTAAATCTCTGCATTGTTAATGCTCTAAGCTTCTTTAAAACATGATTTATAATTGATTTGAAAAGATTGATGCTCAAATAGAGGAAATATAAACACAAATAAACAAGAGATTAATGTTGATGGGTTTTGTGGCCTCCTTATGTTTGCTCACTACAGTCTGTCTGAATAATATACTCTTATTGTCCAGTTGTCAAAATCAGGAAAAACAAACAATAAAAACATGCTACTGCAAACATATATCCTCAGAACATGCAGAGGTAGTATTTTTTATCATCTGTTCTATTCTTTCATCTTAAAAACTGGGGAGTAAGAGCCAGTGAGACTACAGCAATACTCTCCTGTGAATAATTACTTTCCTATCTAAATATAGACTCAAAGGCAAACCTCGCCCATCTAGCACCTCCTGACTTCACTAACTTTGCCAAGTATGTCAAATTATTTGACCCATGTGTGGAACAAAAAGGTTCTACCTAGAGTCGTAGTGTAATTGACTGCATCTCTAACTAACCCGAAATGGGCCATAAAAACACCCTTCAAAATGCTGCAGCAGTACATAAACGCAGTTTCATGTTTCAATCGTACATTATATAGCATGAAACTATTAATTAAAACCCTGATACACGAGAGGATAGAGTTAATGATCTGTGCTGCGTCTTCAGAGAGCAGTCAGCCGAGAATAATTGTGTGCATCTGAAGTGCAGTAGATACCTGCATCCCCCTTAACATCTGTCTGGTGTACTCAGAGTGAGTATGCATTCTGAAAATGTCATCGCACCACATCTAGGCACTGTATCTGATGCAGCGTGCCGCCAGTGGCAGTGCTTTGCTGAAGGTGTAGTTTTAGGGGGGGGGGGGTTGCGAGGTGAGGTTATTTTACCTACCTCTGACCTTCTGCGGTCAGAACCCCTGTGGTTTTCTGCGGTCAGGAGGGAATCACACAGTGCTGAGAACAAAGAAATATGATGGCTCCCACTTGTCCTCCTCTGGTTCAAAGGGAATGGCAGGGCAATGCTAATTAGCCAGCTTGTGTTACTGAATTGAACATAACTGCTGTTCCCTTCAGTGTTCCCCCTCCCTCTCGTCGTGCGCCTAACAAGCAGCGTCTACAACAGTTATGCACCCTGCATAACTCTGCATATTTTTGTGCACTGTGAGACATCCTGTTCTGTTGCTGTCCTGAAAAAGGAAATAATTCCCATCGTTAGATTAATCCTTTTCAAGAGAATTGAATTCACCCTTTCCTGTTAAATAATAGCAATTTGTTTTGTGAAAGTACAGCGGTTCTGGCCCATATGTATTCTTTCGACATCTTCGCCCAGCTGTTCTTTGGAGTGTAGTTTAATCCTGGCTGTCAAGTTTGAGGGCGATAAGAGGCGTAACAACAGGATTCCCCACCAGTTCATCTCGGCTCGTTCAAAATTATGGTACTACAACTGAGAAAATGGTGCTCTGTAAGTAGGTAGTGAATTCATGTTTTTAATCAGGGATCGAGGGGAGAGTGAGGAGGAGGTCAAGTTATTATCCTCACATATTCAACATTCCAGTGGCGGCGCTGTGCATATACGCCTCCCCTCCCTCGTCTTGTGTTCTGTGGTCTGCGTCTCTTGTCAAAGTAATCTGAGTCTTGCAGTCAGGGTTTCCTGGAATACCAAGTATCGAAAGGCGGTGACAGGCGGCGTCGAGTAGCAGCTCAGAGTATCCTTGAGGTTTACGGAACATGTTGCCATCTCAAGATATCATCTCTTCACCCGATTCCTGTTTCTGCAGCTGTAATCATACAAAGAAATTAAGCTGTACGCTCCGTATCATCCACATCTCCAAGTAACAAGGGCTTTGTGAATTTGTAATGGTGTAGCAGAAGCTATTTCAAATGATAGTGGAGGAAAATATGGTAAAATCAAACATGACCTGCATGCGTGCGAGCACAAGTCAGATACAATAGATGCGTAGCTCCAGGGGGGTTGTGCTCAGCGTCTTGGTGCTTTCTCTCTCTTTCTCTCTCTCAGTCAAATATCTTTTTGTTAGTGCAGATGCACTCAGGGTTGGCAAACACATTGAAGGCTGAGTCACTTAAACAGCCTCATCTTGACACGCAACTGACTCACAGTCCATTGATTTCTTCATACATCATATTCTTTTGTACTGTTCGTTGTTATGTATGTATACGGGGAGGGAGGGAGGCTGTTGTTTGAACTCCTCCAAGGCACATATGTTTGTCTCGGAGCTACATCACATGATTAAATATTCCATGTTTAATGGCACATGGAGGTGCAACCTTGTTGCGTAATCCTCATTAGTTACTAGGACTACAACTGAGTTTAAGAATCCATTTTCATTAATAGCCGAGAATAGCACAATCGGTGTTGCCTGAACAAGCCTCTCTCCCGGAGCAGCAAAACAGAGAGCCTCTCATCTCGGTTGTCATGCAAGTGTAAAGCCTGGAGCTCATTCATTCAAAATAAAAGGTGCATTACATTTTTGATGCAACTTTTACTGCAGTGCTTGAATCCAAAGAGGCAAGCTCTTAACCTAAAAAGTTATCTGTAATCACTGGGACTGTTTCTACTCACTGTTCTCCTTTAGAAATACATTGTTTCATTCAGTGTTGCAGAAACCAGCAGGGCGTCACAAAGTACAGAGCAGGAGGAAATCTATCTTCTTCCTGCATGGAGACAAAAGTCAGTGAACTCATACCCCATTGATTCAGAGCCCAAAAACTTGGTTTTCAGCTGGAACCAAAAATAGCACAGTTTCTTTGACCCACAGTGCCAACCATGACATCACTGGGTTTGTCATATTGTACAGGGTTGGACAAATGTCAAAGTCAAGCGAGAAATTGACAAAAAAGAGCATGCAGTGGTCTCATTAATTGTTGCTTCATGCTTGTTTTGGGGGTAAAAACAAATGTTGTGCACTTTTGTGCATTGTGAAATGTCCTCCATCCATGATACATCCTTGATACAATGGTTTTGCAGAACACTGGTAGAAACATGGGTTGGTTTGCTAGATAGCAACAAAGTTCCAAGAATCAGACTCAAGAACCAGAGTCAGTTTGGCCGAAAAGGAGTATTCAAGATAAAAGTCAATGATACAGACAGAAGGGAAACCAATTTGAATATCAAAGTTAATTTTGTCCCTGAGGCACCCCAGACCCACAACATGTCTGAGCTAAGTATGTTAACCATGCCTGTATGAATATTGTATGTGTGATGCATGTTTAGACACATACAGTCTTAGAAGTTGTGGAGTCCTCACTGGAATTGTATTCTATATATATATATATATATTTTTTTTTTTTTTTTTTGAATAAGAGAATCAAAGCTTTTCTCTTAAAGTGCTAAAATGAATGTTCCCTTAATTGAGATATGATCAAAAAATGTTGTTTATTATAAGAGCTATTTTTAGGTATCTACCATAACTCAAAGGAAAAGTCTGTACCACCTGCTGTGCGGGGACACGTACAGAAACGCACCTACAGTACTGTGATCTTCTTTCATCGTAAATGTGAATGTCTGAGCATCCCGCTTCCGTATCTCTACTCCCGTCCCTGTGAGTGGCTCATGCTTTAAAGTGGCCAGTTTCACTGTCCATCTGTGCATTGGTCTAAACAAGGCCATGACAGGAGCTCGCTTCCTTTCATATCGTTTACCAAAAACAGCATTTGGGAGTAGTGATAGTGGCAGACGAGGAGCTGGTTATGAGCCACAGCTCCTCCATTGTCTAGCATGCTGGAGAAAGAGTGGGAGCCCCTAAAGAGGCCTGGCAGAGTCTCTGCTTCCATCTGCCTGCATGCCTCGCCATGGAGCCCAGCTCGCACCACTTGAGATTATACTCACGTCCAAGCTGTTACTGTAATTTGCATTGGCTCATAGGCAGAGGAGAGTGAGGAGGAGGAGGAGCTGCACATGAGGCAGGGATGTTATAAGTGGTCCTGGCAGCACAATGAGCTTGCCTGGGCGTAGTATTATGTACAAGTGGCATGCGCAGAGCTATATTAAAGTGCAATAATGGCACCGAGCAGGTTGCCCTGCTGTCCAAGATTATTGTCTGTGTTAGTGTATGGAGTAAATTATAGAAATGTTGTGTTTGAAACTGTCCCAGTC